CTAGTTTCACCACTAGGCCCACCATCCTAATTCAATTCTGCCCAATTCGTGTTAAACGTAGCACAAATTTGCAAGGGGAATAATTTATGCTGCCTTTACTTTTGCACTGACATTTGCAAAATTGCCATCGCTCAAGCTCTATGCAAGCCTCAGATAGTCTGGCCTTAATTATGGCCACCATTAGTATAAAGACCAGACCTCACAATTCCTATGCAGTGTCATATTGCCAAAGTGTCGAATGACTCCGTTGATTTTGCTTATGCAATTAAGAGACGATTCGAGATCGTTTATTTACTGAAATTACCAGACGCGACTTGTTCGTCACATCTGACAGCCTTTTGTACTTCTCTTGCTCTTCATTAACAAACTTCATCCCTTTGCCGATTCTTTGACAGGATGATTTCTAATCAAAAATCTTATATAACAAAATTCTTACGTCTTAACGTGAATTTGTTTGCACATATACAGAGGCAACAAACAAACACTTGGTAACATCTTGAAACAAAGATACGCAAATGCTAGCATCTAATATAGACCGAAGAGAATAGAGTCAGTCATGCCACTTAATTGGGGTACTGAATGCTGCGAAATTACACAAATCTGCTAGATTATGTCGGTAGAACCGAACCTAGATGCAAACATCTCTTGAATTTAGATGTCAATGAGGGGGCTCACGTCACCACTACTGAGGTGAGATGCTATTCAGCCACGGGTATAGTTGATATGCTCTAAGCCAGGGATATTTGTGCTGATTTGGAAAGCCTGCTCTTAATATACGTCTTGGTTCATGATGTTATGTTGCAGCCTCAAATTAACTCGCTTAATCTTGAATTGGTTAAATGGGGAATTTGACACCATTGCAGATCCGTCTACGAGTGTTTTGGTAAGCAATTTTGTCCATTATCATTCATCAGACTTGACATGGAGCCGATATTATCAGTCATGGCGCTGTGCTGTTTCATTATCAAACAACAAGTGCTCACCAGTTGTTTGAAGCGTTTGAATCAAGGATAATTCTCCATGCTTATTAGGATGAGATAATGTTGACGTTGAGTGAAGAAGAGAATAGATTAACTTGTGTGTCGACGATGGAGCATAGATCGACGGTGATTGATGGCTGCGTGTAAGAGAGCTGTGGAATTAGTATAGGCGCTAGGACTTGGCTTCATTTAGATGCATAAGGAAAAAAGTAGAACATTATCAGTGCTGTGCACTGTTCACCCTAAATAGCTGTTATGTGAAATGTTTGATAGGACAAGGTTATCATCAAAATTTATAGACTTCATATTTTTATAATTTTTTGTGCATTTAAAAATTGCACATCTGCGTAATATATCGAGTTGTATATCTTTTGGTGGTAGGCATAAGCAAACGGGGTTCAAATAAAAGACCATTTCTAATACCTCCAAAGGGAACAGACAAATCTACCATGGCTGTTACACTTCATTGCCAAGATGCAAAAGCCCTCCTTCTAATGCCTGCAAATTTTTTATCTTTATGTGCTTGACAGCTACTTTTCAGTTTTTGTAGTAAAAACTAGTACTGGGTTGTTATTTTCATCAAAATTTGTAAAAATTTGGAAAGGTCAGTTTGTTCTCTATCTTTACGAAATCCATACCTTCTACCTAGTTAAATTTTCGAGATCAATTTACGAAAGGCAAAAGAGAATAATAATAAGAAATTTTGTGTTTTTACTCTATCGAACCAAACCGGTGAGGTAAGCATCGTATCTCGCAAAATAAAAGCAACGATCCTATCGCCTTTTGAAGAGGTGAGGAATAAGCACTTGCTTCTACTAAGTTAATTACAATTGTTTCTTACTTCAAAAAAGCAATTTTGAATAGTCCGATCACAGGGTAGCATTGCATTAATCTGAAAATTTGCTGTACTCATTACATTTCAAAGAACCTACCTTGGAAAGGACTTTCGAGTTGAATTAATTTAAACTAAAACATCGCGTTAACATTTTTGTCGTGGACAAATCGTAAGGATGAATTAAAAGTTGAGCATCCCTAAGACATCATCTATGCAAACGAAGGTTTCACCCTTTCTGATTTATTTTGGAATTCTCATGTTTGTGTTCATTTTAAGGCATGTTTGTGCAATTATTTAAACCTTTGCACACAAAACTTTGCCATAACGAAGGACAAAAACAGCTCAACTAAACATCGATTCTATTGGGTGCGTTTAAATCACGAATATGAATAGTAGTGAAGTGTATAAAAAAGCATTATGAGTTCACTGTTTCAGGTAGGGGCATATTCGTCTAGTGAATATATGACTAATGCCACTTGTGTAGACTAAGTGTAGAATAAAGGTAACGTGGTTTGATTTACCTTCTTATATGCTATTAAATCCCCTTAGTACATTGATTCTCTAGAAAGTGCGTTAGGAATGAAAAGTGAACAATTGGGGGCCAATGTGTGTCCAAATTTAGACAGCGGTGACCCTCATGCACTCAGAGCATCGCAACTGAATATATCGATGATGACCACCGATGAGCACAAACTTTTCTTGTTTAATTCTGATCAAGTTTTGAATGCTGGCCACGAATTCTGCTGCCATTGGTGGACTCTCAGGTATCAACTCAAATTATTTTTGCTCAGCCTCTTACAAGGTTAAACAATGGACGTCACTCTAATGCATCCCTATGTTGAGTACTTTTATATTAGAGGAATTAGTGGTATCTAAACACAGATTTGCTTTTTAATTAGGATGTTGGTTTATTTGATTAGGTACATTTATTCGACACACTTATACCAAATGTTCTGAGCACAGATATCAACATTACACGAGGGAATTATAAAGTCTGTTACGACCAGTCTGCAAATCTTGTAGACCTTGACGTATTTTGCTTGCTGTCGATGCTTCTTTCTACTGGCGCCTTTGAACGTCATGGAAAAGTGTCCCATTGTTCTCTGGCATCGCTGAGTGCACGTAGCGTACTGCTGCAACAACACTGTAAGTGAAGTTAAAGAGCATCATCTCAGACGAACAGACACAGTCTGGTGAGAATGTAGATAGCGGGTGAAACCCAACCATTAGATAGCTCCTCATTTCCCACACTACAAGAGTCGCAGGTAGTCAAGATAATCGGAAAAGCGACTAGCATCATTGCTCTGTGTACAACATTTTCTGCAAAATGAGAAAACGTCGAGCCATGTGCAACTTGCAAAAATAGTTTTAACGTCTCTAATTGACATGCGCATTTGATTGGATTGGATATTGACGAATTTGGGGGTTGTGTGGTATTATTGGTAGTGGTAGTAGTAAAATCGTTAGAGTGTACACAGAAAGGTGTTTTGGTTACTGGCAAATTTAATGAGTCGTACCATTCACTAACTGCTGTGATTGGCGAAGTTGATTTGATTCTGATGCATGCGCAGCATTTGTTCTCCCATTAAGTTTGGTTTTCCTCATTTGATTGCCAATTAGCTACTTTAGGACAGCCGCAGTTATACAGCAAAGCGAAGGTTCTATTGATCTAATGCTAAACTTGGTGGGTTTTCTAGTTGATGTGAGGAAGTCAATCAAGCAGCCAGCCGCAAAACATGCTGAATGACATGAAA